AGGAACTCAATTTAAAAGCAATTCAGTTTCTTATCTCAGTGTTTGAGTGTAGACCACTGTTTTGCTGAATGTGACAGACATTTTCAAGATCCAGCTAAGACTGATTTTGAAATGCTTACCTCTTTCACTCTCTGCCTTACTTCCTTGCCATTCTGAGACTGACAAAATTCGTGAGATGGCACATCAAGCCACAGAGCGTGTGGCCAAAATAAAATTTTCTATGGTTCTAGAAATCGGATGTTTCAGATAAATTTTGACTTTTGAGTAAATGTTCACCACTTGGAGCTGAAGAAATTTCCAGCAACAAAGAAATTTCACGGCGGTTTGGGTTTTTCAAAGATAGTTTTACAGAGAAACCCACGTGGGGGGCCCTAAGCCACTAACCTACATCAGTCAGCACAAGCACCAGGACCATGGAAAGCAGAGATATGTATTACTAAGGCCCCATGACATACTGCAAAGGAGAGGATACCACAGCTGTGCCCTGCAGACTGAGACAGTACTTGATAGGGATGGATATAATTTTTTTTTCCTATGTTACTTGGGTTAAGGTCTGTGTAAGGAGGATGGGTCTGAATAATTACCTAGATCAAGTTATGCCCGTCAATATCAGAAAAGCACCACATATTCCAGGGAGCTGGGTTTCCATTTATTGGTATGAAGAGAATTTCACTACACACTTGAGAAGGCAATCTTAGGGCTACTGAACATTGGGATGGACTGTTATGTAGTCAATATACTCTTAAAATGGGCTAATCTGAATTTACAGTCCTTGATTCCAGAGCTCTCATGGACTCATGCATTTCCCCCAGCAGAGCACTACCGGAACACTCATCCACACGCACTTAGCAAGTACTCCTACGTGTAAGTCTACACTGGGTACAGGAGATGCAACCATGAACAAGGCCATTGAAGCCTCTGCCTTCGGGACTCTTACATACTTGTGGAAGAAGAAAGAAACAATGACTAAATAAAAATGATAATTTTACATTATGATAAATATTGAGAAGAAAAACTTATAGCAAAGGGAGTGGCTCTTTTAGATAGGGAGGTATATGTGTGAGGGCAAGGACTCAGTCAGTCTTGCTCAAGGTGGCAGTCAGCACTAGTACAGTGCCTGGCACATATTAAATTTCAAATCAGTAGTGGCTGGGTGGATAAAGAACTGAATCTGGACTTCAGAGTAGATGGTACTAATCTGAACTACTCATTTTGAGGATAAGTGACTAATAACAGATTTCATAGTTAGCTGGTGGCAGGTTCAGAGGTGTTCTATTTGTGTACCACATTATTATTTTTTTTAAAGATTTTTTTTTATTTGTTTATACAAGAACCAGGGTACAGGCCAGATGTGCGGGAGGGTGAGAGGATTCACCAGAGACAGAGCGGGGAACAGAACAGATGGACTGACTGAAATACACTGCTGAGGGGAGCAGCGGGCGAGACAGGAGAGGTCTGCTCATCATGTGGGTTGCGCCGAGGCCGGCACAGATCGAACTGGTGCTGCAGAGGCTGTGGACAGCTTTGCAGCACTGCGCTCAACCGCCTGCGCCACCGAGGCCCTTGTGTACCACATTCTTCTGAGTCTCTTCCATTGTGCTTCTGCAATAAGAAACCCTAAAGGACTTCTCTTAATCATAAATAAGCAACAATGATCAAAAGTCACTCTATTGCCAAGTAATGATGACTTTTCCCTTATATTTATTTTTAGTCATATGTTAGGTTTCTTTAATTATAACAGTGCAATTCCACCATTTATCTCCAAGCTAGTTTATTACAAGCTTCCAAAGCATCTTCTTAACCCTCCTGATACTTGTAACCTGTGTCAAAAGCTTTCCTTTCCTCTCTGATTGAAATTGAAAAAAAACCCAAAACAACCCATACCAGGTTTTCTCCTGCAACTAACTTTATATGGTGCTATTTTCTTACTCACAGCCTTACTCCATCCCCATTTACCCAATGCTAAACAGTGTTACACACCAACTATACAAAGACAAACAAGACATTGTCACTGCCTACAAAGAGCTCACAGTATAGATCTGTCTTACAAATGAATCATTATAATATAACAGAGTAAGTACACTGAGAGATACACAGTGTATTACACCTAACATGACTAAAAAAAAAAAAATAAGGAAAAAGTCATTATTTGGCAATAGAGTGACTTTTGATAATGTTGCATAGTGTTACCTTATAGACAATGTATTTTAGGGTAAACCTAGTTAGGAAAGTGCCTAATCCAACCTTGGGGACCAGGGAGGACTTCCTATAGGAGACAATTCTAAAGTAAGTCTTATTGGAGGAGCAGGGGTAACCAGATAAAGAGGGAAGGACATTTCAAGCAGAAGGGACAGTATGAGTTAAGGACTGAAGAATAGAAATAGTACATTTCATGTAATTTTGTGCTGTTGGAGCAAAGGATGGGAGGGCATAAAGCTAATAATCCCTCTAGGGGGTGAGATCACACAGAACTTTATATGCCAGTCTAACTAGCTTTGAATTTGCCTTTTAGACACATGGAGCCAATGAGGGGTTTTAAGCTGGAGTGTAAAGCTGTCAGATTTGTGATTTAGACAGATATTCTCACTAGTAATGGATCTATGGGAACAAAAGAGAGGCTGGAAGACCAGTCAGTAGGCTGTCTGGTCCAAATAAAGACTCAACATAAGCAGTGGAAGAGAGATCAAGAGGAGAGGCTGGAGTGAAGAAATTGTAGGATAGGAAACTGGCATGACTTGGTGTAGGGTGAAGAAAATGTCAGGCTTTTCTGCCCTCCCGCCATCAGGATAGATGATGGATCCTTGAGGTCCTGAATGCATGCCTGATGGCGGGGACCTGGAGTGGGGTGTGGGCATAGGTAGATGGGATTAACCTGGGCTAAGACTGTGCTTTTAAGGGCGACATCACGGGGACACCAGCAGAAGCCGAGAGAGAAGCAAGAGAAGCAGAAGCTGAGAGAACGTCGGAGAGCCCAGATAGAATGAAGACTTGCTGGGGGCTGGAAGGCCTGCCAGCCTCCCGGCCCCCCAGCACCCCTGCCTGCTGTGTACCGGGTAAATCCCAATAAAAGACCTGCAAAAAACCACTGAGGACTCTGACTCCTCCTTCACCTGGTCTGCTGGATCCTAGAAAACTTGCACTGTGTCCATTCCTGCCCTTTACACTTGGTCATGGAATATAGGAGTGAGGGAGTAGAAGCTGTCCTATGTTTTGCGTGTGACTGACCACTGGGTTGACAGCACCAACAAGAGAGAATAAGTAAAGAGGACCAGAAATACAACATTAAGAGTGAACCCTAATGTAAACTGTGGCTGCTGGATGATAATGATGAGTCAAGTAGATTTATTGATTATAATAAATGTACCAACTGGTACAGAGTATTGATAGTGGGGGAAGTAGTGTGTTATGTGGGGATCAGGGAACTTTTTATACTTTTTGCTGAATTTTTCTGTGAATCTAAAACTCAAAAAGTTAAAAAAAACAGTTTAAAAAAAAAAGGCAGAAATGTCAGGGAAGATCTGTTTTCAGTTTAAGCTGCACTGAGTCTGCACCTATGGGACACCCAAGAGGAAACGTCCACAGTGCCCATTTGGGTATATGATAAGGCTCAAGCAGACATCTAAGGCAGGGTTACAGATATGGAGGTCCTCAGTATAGAGGTGCTCCTATTATCTAGCTTTTTTTTTTTTTAAAGATTTACTTATTTATGCATACAAAAACTGGGGTACAGGCCAGAGGTGTGGGGGGTGAGAGGATACACCAGAGACAGAGTGGGGAGCAGAACAGATGGATTTACTGACTGAAGTACATTGCTGAGGGGAGCAGTGGGCGAGTCATGAGAAGTCTGCTGCGCTGGGGATCAAACTCGAGCTGCAATGCCTGTGAATAGCTTCATAGGTTGCGTCTTAACCCTTGCACCACCAGGGAGGCCCTATCTAGCTTTTCTTGAAGGAGGTGAAAGTTTGGCAAATAAGGAAGGGAATGCATTTCAGGAAAGGAGAAAAGTTAGGGTAAAGGCACGGAGCCACAGGTGTGCACCTCAGGGCTGCCAGGAGAGGACGCTTCCAGATCAGCCCTGAAGAGATCATGAGTTTCAGCTGTCTCACTGCAAGCAGAGCCCTTCTGGTATTTCTACCTCCTCTCTTGGGAGTGCAGGTGTGTTCACATCCTGGATATTCCTGACTGTTGCATAAACTGGATAGTTAGGTGTTCCTTTAGCCCAACAGTTTTATTGATCTGTGCACTATGAGGGATCTACGTATCCCACACCCCTGCTAAAATGTTCCACCTGTCCCTAAGGGGAAAAGAGATCTTAACCCACACATGCCCATGGGACTGCATTGGTGCACTGAAATCTGAATGCCCATGGAGGCTTTTAACCAAAGCAGTGAGTCAGAATTGTCTGTGAAGACTTTTTCAAACCTTTCCATCCTTACTCTGCCCTGCTTTCCCACCAGGGGGTCTTGATCTGGTGGAAGAGGGCATGAAGCAGGGGTAACCTAGGCATATGCGTTTTCAGAAGCTCACAGTGATATGAAGACTACAAGCTTGGACTACAAGCACCTGCATGGTGCTTCTTAGGCATTATCTGATGGTGCTAAAAGTTGTTTTCCATCCCTTGAAGGAAAACCAAAGGCAGTGGTTAGAGATCTTACCTGCTTTATCTTTATCTTTCTTACAACCACCTGACATCATATGGTGCGTTCATTTGGTTGTTTATTGTTATCTTTTCCACCCACTAGACTGTATATTCCTGAAAGGACAGACTCCATCTGGTTCACTGTTGTATTCCCAACACCTAACAAAGTGTCTGGAATGAAGTAGATACTTAACAAATAAACTTATTGTTGCCTGAATGTTATTTTACTTGAGATTGCCTGTTATTTAATGGGGAATGTCCCTCAATTTTGAATGTGATGATACTCTTTTGACCTTTCAAATATGAACAAAAAATAAACTGTAATGTCTAAAGCTGTGTTGTAGGTATAAAATCTACCTACCTTAGCATAGTCCAATCTTCCCCTTTCTTGAGCCTAAAATAGAAAAGAGGGGGAAATTAGTTAATTCTTTAAAAAAATTAGCACCTCCATAACTTTTGCTTCTCAAGGAATAAAAACCTATTTTCTCCCTCTCTATATGTATACATCTCTCTCTATATATAATTTTCAAACAAATAGAAAAGTTGAAATACAGTACAATGAACACACAAATACTCCCTATCTAAAGTTGCCAATAGAAGACATCATAACTCTTCAGACTTCAGCATATTTTATAAACATAGGACATCTATATATAAACACATGACCACTATCAAATATTAAAAACTAACAATGTGGCATTCACCTAACATACAATCCACATGTATTGAACCCACAGATTACTTACTAATCACATAACTAATAAACAACTAAATGGACATCATTTTCCCAATTATCTCAACAATATCTTTTATTGTTTTTTTTCCAAATCAGCCAATATTCACCCACTGTATTTAGTTCTTTTGTCTGTTTAGCCTTTTGAATCTAAATAGCCCTTCCCTATTTTTCATGAAAGGAAAACAAAAGCTATTAACTTTTTTTTCATAATAATCATTTATTTATTTTTTGAGAACAGGGCAGCAATCTTATAAAATGTGTCTCCTTTTGGATTTGTTTCATATTTCCTCATTGTGCCATTTAACTCATCCCTGTTTTGTTTGCAAACTCTAAGCTTGTCTGTAGATTTAGATTTAGGTTACTTATATTTAGGTCAAATCTTTTTGGCAACTTCATGTGGATTATATGCTTCATACTGCATCAATTCAGGAGGCACAAAATATCAGCCTGTTCCATTCTTAGTGCTATAAATTTGATCACTTGGTTAAGGTAACGATTATCACTTGGTTAAGGTAATGATTACAGATGGTCCACTCTAATGATATATTTCCCCCTTTACAATTAGTAAGTGATCTGCGGGTTCAATTTCTTTTTTACTTCCCATGGTATAATTTTTATTATGTTGTATTATGTTGAAAGACTCCCACTGGGAATGAGGATAGGAGAGAAAGGTGGAGGTGAAAGAAAGATCCTATAAGAGGGCAGATTTTATTTAGAAATTTATTCACTTCTGGGCCTCCCTAGTGGTGCAGGGGTTAAAGACAGCACTATCAAGCTATCGCCAGCCATTATGGCACAAGTTCAATCCTCGGGAGGCCTGGGAGCTACCCACATGACACAGCAGACCTCTCCTGCCTTGCCTGCTGCTCCCCTTAGTAGTGTAGTTCAGTAGATCGGCCTGTTCTGCTCCCCACTCTCTCTGGTGAATCCTCTCACCCCTTGCACCTCTAGCTCACACCCCAGTTCTTATATGCATAAATAAATAAATATTTTTGAAAAGAAAAATTTATTCGCTTCTTTAAAATTTAGTTATTAAAAAATTACAAACACATATACTCAAAACATTTATATAACAAATTTTCATATAATAGATACAACCAATATGTATTCATATTTGTGGGTAGGTCAACCCATTTTTTGGTAGACTTCAGATTGAAGTTTCTCCAGTCACCCCTGCAGAGAACAAGAGTCCTTCAACTTATGAAATAGTAAGGTCTCGAGTCAATTTGTTCCTCAGTCTAAAATCCTCTATACTGATAACAAACATGGGCAGAGTACTCTCATGAGAAAAATAAGATTTTCTTAACATTTGTTTTGACTTTTCTGGCTTCTTTACAATCCTTTAAAAACTCATCCAAAGATGGCTGCATTTTATTCTTCTTATTTTCATAACAAACAACTTATAATAAGATACTTCTCATGTATCGTGGTTGGCACCATCACAAATCACACTAAGTTAAAACTATGACTTGAACATTTTCAATGATAAAATGACTTCTGCAACCAATGTAATATAATAGAGAATTTGAGTGCCCAATGTCACCACTCCTGTTTATTTCACTACTAGAGATTTTTAGGCAAAGCAATCAGATCACAGGAAATAAAAGGAACCCAAGTAAGTATCATTATTTGAAGATGATATATATAGAAAGAGCTAAAGACTCCACCAAAAAGCTATTAGAAATAATAAATGAACACAGCAAAGAAGCAGGTTAAAAATCAACATATAAAAACTTATGTAAAAACAAGAGAAAAGAAATTAAGACAATAGTTTCATGCAGTTACTTTAAAAACAATTAAATACCTTGAAATTAAGATAACCAATGAAGTGAAGGACCTATACAACAAGAACTACAAGACATTGTCAAATGATTTAGATTGTGACATACGGAGATGGAAAGACATTTGATGCTTGTGGGTGGGGAAAATCAATATAAACAAAATGATTATTCTATTTAAAGTAATACAAAAATTTAATGCAACCCCCATCAAAATATCAATAATATTGTTCAAAAAATTGAACAAAAAATACTGAAAATTATAGGGAACTGTAAGAAGGTCTCAAATAGTAAAAGAAATTCTGGGAAAAAAAGGGGAGAAATGGGGGTATTGTGTTACCTGACTTTAAACTATATTATATAGCCACAGTACCGAGACCCTATGGCATTGGCATAAAAATAGATACATGAATAAATGGAACAGCACCAAGAGCCAAGAAAGAAATCCACATACATATCAATCCTTAATTTATGATGAAGCAACCATGATCATACAATGGGGAAACGAGAGCCTCTTTAATAAATGGTGCTGAGAAAGCCGCTGCCACACATAAAAGAATGAAGTGGGAGCACACTTTAATTCTGAGAATAAAAATAAATTCCAAATAGACTAGAGATTTAATATACAACCTGTAACAATAAAACACATAGAAGAAAATATCACCAGATATGTTCCAGGATATCAATAATAAAGATGTTTTTGGAGAACTGACCCTATGGCAAGAGAAATAAAAGCAAAAATAAACAACTGGGATTACTCAAAGAGTTTTTCTATAATTACCTAGAAAACATAAGTAGATTAAAAGGACATTCCTGGGCCTCCTCTGGTGGCGCAGTGGTTGAGCACTGGGCTGCAAAGGTGCCCGCAGCCTCTGCAGGGCCAGTTCGATCCCCGGCCACCAGCAAGGGTCCCACATGGTGCACAGACCTCTCCTGCCACCCCCGCTGCTCCCCTCAGCAGTGTATTTCGTCAGTCTGCCTGTTCTGTTCCCTGCTCTGGCTCTGGTGAATTCTTCACCCTCCCGCGCTTCTGACTGTACCCAGTGCTTGTATAAATAAATAAGTAAATCTTAAAAATAAAATAAAATAAAATAAAAGGACATCCCACTGAATGGGAGAAAATATACATTACACAACTGACAAGGTGTTAATGCCTAAGATATATAAAGAAATTATATAACTTAGGGCCTCCCTGGTGGTGCAGGGGTTCAAGTCTCAGTGCTATCAAACTATCACCAGCCACTGAGACATGAGTTTGATCCCTGGCCAGGGAGGTTACCCACATGGCACAGCAGACCTCTTCTGTTTTCACCCACTGCCCCCCTCAGCAGTGTATTTCAGTAGATCTGCCTGTTCTGCTCTCCTACTCTTGTCTCTGGTGAATCCTTTCATCCCTGCATGTTAAATTGTTCATCATTGCTTCTAATAAAGGAGATGTAGGTTAAAGCCATTGATATCATCTCACACCCATGAGAATGACACATAATAAAAATACCTCCAACAACAAGTACTGGAGAGGATGTGGAGGAAGGAACCTGACTGCACTGATGGTGAAGAGGTTAACTGATGCAGACATTTTGTGGGACCCTTGCTGGTGGCTGGGGATCGAACTGGCGCTGCAGAGGCTGCGGGCAGCCTCGCAACCCAGTGCTCAACCACTGCACCACCAGGGGAGGCCCTGATGCAGACATTTTGGAAAGTGATCTGTATTTACCCTAAAAAAAACAAAAAGAATCATGGCCTTTTCATGAAGATGGTGCCAAAAGTAAAGAAGGAAGTTACTTCCTGTCACAAAGTTGAAGCCAAACAAAAGCTTTGAAGGTAAAGAAAGGCACATCATAAGCCCTCTGGCAGCCCAAGAAAATGTAGCTCTGAAGGCAAACCAATTATCCTCAGAAGAGCACCTCCAGGAAAAACAAGCTTGACCAATGTGCCATCATCAAGTTCACCCCTGACCACCAAGTCAGGGACAAATAGAAGACAACACAAGATAGGAGACAACAAAGCACTTGCATTCACTGTTGTCATCAAGGCCAACAAGCAGCAGATCAAACAGGCTATGAAGAAACTCTATGACACTGATCTGGCCAAGGTCAACACCCTGATCAGACCTGATGGAGAGAGGTATGTGTTTGAATAGTTGCTGAATATGATGCTTTGGATGTTGCCAACAAAATTGGGATCATATAAACTGAGTTCAGCTGGCTAATTCACTATATAAAATTTTTCATAATTAAAAAAAAGCTCAATAAACTATTAATGGAAATACCTATGACCCAGCAATCCCAATTTTAGGCATCTCTCCAAAGAACATGAAAACATCAACTCAAAAAACTACACACTTTACAATGTTTATGCAGCATTATATACATTAGCTAGGACATGGAAGCAATTAAATGCCCATCAATGGACAACTGGATCAGGAAGACATGGTACATCCACACCATAGAATGCAATTCATCTAAGGAAAGATGAAATGTTGCCATTTATAGCAAAATGGAGGGAGTTCAAGGGAATTATGGGTAGTAAAGTCAGCATGACAAAGACAAATAATGGCCATTGACATACATAGCAGGCAATTTGACAAAGCAAAATACTTAGAGAAATTAGCAGACATTAATAAATGAAGTGAGGTTTCTGAGGCTAGGGGTGGGGTAGGAAGAAAGGGTCAAAGGGGATATAAGGGCTACTGGTGGGGAAAAATAAAATAAATATCACTAGGATTGACCAATTTTTAAAAATGGAAGAAAAATGTATTTATTACAAAAAAAAATAAGAGGTCCTCAATCTGCTCTTTAAAATTTTTTTTAGGGATCCAGAATTTTCAATATACTAAGAAGACTTTGAACTTAGTCCTGAGATGCATGAGACCAATAGAAA